TTTTGTCAAATGCTTTTTCTGCATCTATTGATATGATCATACGATTTTTATTTTCCATTTTGTTAATGTGATGTATTACGTTAATTGATTTGCGGATATTGAACCAACCTTACATACCAGGCATCAATCCCACTTGATAGTGGCATATGATCTTTTGAATGTGATGCTGAATTCAGTTTGCTAGTAGTTTGTTGAGGATCTTTGCATCTGTGTTCATTAGGGATATCGGCCTGTAGTTTTCTTTGTTTTGTAATATCTTTGTCTGATTTTGGGATCAGAGTAATAGTGGCCTCATAAAATGTGCTTGAGAGCCTTTCCTCCTTCTCTATTTTTTGTAATCATTTGAGGAGTATTAATTAATTTTTATTTTTTATTAATTTTATTAATATTTTATTAATTTTATTTAGTCAGGAATTTGCCAGACCAAAGTAAAAGATCAATCTGGCTTTTACTAACTTAGCATTTAGATGACCCCAAATACTTCCCAATTGTATCTGCCAAAAGTAATTTTGCATTGCTGTGAATCATGGTTCCAAAGGAGAGATTTCAGGGATACTCTATAAAACAAAGACTGGCCTATTGTTAATGAAAAGAAGCAATAAAATAATATGTATATATCTTTATAATGTGTTTGTTCTAAAAGCTATATCAAAATATAGAATCATCTTGTTTAGGGAGGAAAAACAGTTAAGAACGTCCTTTTTTTCAAATATTTTATTTCTTTTATTATAAGACATGTAGGTAAAAACTTTCATATTCTGAAAAAGATAGAAAATGGTAATAAAATGGACATTTTTCTTATTAACAAACATGTCATAACTATGCTTTATCAAATGTTAAAATGGTTATTATTTTGCAAAATAGCAATAAATAGAGCAAAGCTGTGGCATAAAAGGGTCAACTCAAAGTACTGGAAGTACTTATGTTTTGTGCTATAAAAATTCAGAACTTTGATTATATTTTAAAATTTGGCATTCTGCACTCTAGGTTTTCAATAATTCAGATTTTAAAAACATTTTTATGATTGCCCTATGACTTTAAAATAATGTAACAAAAAAGGTGGTTGGACTAAGTAGAATTTGATTAAAATAATTTTCCCCTGAATAAAAAATTATGACACAGAAGTAAATATACAATTTTTGAACCCATAGTGGAACATGTATCAGTTCCCAATTCTATAAATTTTTGGATCCTCAGCTGTGGATTTGGAACAAATTTTGGAACAAAAATTTGGAACAAAAATTGTTTGCGAAGCTTTAGTTTCCAGCAAGGACCATCATTTCTTTCACAGCTTGATGGAGCAATAATGGTCATGATCATGATAAGCCCAGTTCTACAGTCCTAGCTCCATGAATATAAAGTACAGAGAAAGAAGTTCCCCCTCCTTTGAATAAGCACTGACACATTCCTATATTTGTTTATGACCCATTGGCTTCAAATTCACATACCAGAATAGTGGGGGAAAATTTAATAATGAAAAGTTATTGTTCTAGGCATTCTTTAGTAGACTTCAAGTCTCTGCTATCCAAAGGAGAGGGGAAACATATGTGAACACCAAACACATCCTCTAATGAGTCTTGGGTGTTCAAGTAACAAGGTCAGGCTTTTCCTGCAAATAAATATTGAATCTTTACAAGGACTTTCATTTCCCATGTATTTTGTTGCCCATGATGCTAACACATTAATTCCCAGATGCACTAGGAAAAGCCACATTTAACAATACTTAAGGATCCAATCTAATATAGATTATCGGTCCCAATGGCCTTCAACAATGTCCATCAGGAGGACATCTGGGTACTCTGGGTGCCTAGAGCACAGAGAGATCATGGCAGGATTTGGACTTGAGCTTGAAGGCCATATTCTTGTTGTTTTTGGCCACAATCTTGCCCCAGAAGCGCCTGGCTTTCCTGGGGATGCTCTCCCTCCTTTTTTGGTAGGCCAGCCGCCGTTCATTCTTCTCCTTGCTGTCCTGCCGAAGGCGGACCTGCCGCACGATGCCTTCAAACAGCTCCTTCACATTATGCTGGACAGCCGCGGAGGTCTCAATGAACTTGCAGTCAAACACCACAGCACACGCTCGCCCTTCTAGGATGGAGAAGAGGGGAGAAGAAAGTCAGAGGTGCTGCACAGTATGATCCCACACAGCACACAGCCAAGCTGAAGGACTCCTGACTTTAAATGGTATTCAAGGTAACTCTAAGTCAGTCACACATGCAATGAGTATAGGAGATCACTGTGACACATCCTTAGACCAGGGCATAAATAAAAGCAAAGAGTCTCACAGGGCGATTCCCGGGAGTAGGAGAGATGAGCTTTAGACCTGGCCTACCAAATTCACTGTGTGAAGGTCTCATTTCATCAAATATAGTAATATTTATTATAATAGTAAACACCATAGCCTTAATTTATTGCATTTACTATGTACTGGGAACTGCTTTATAAACACTTCTTTTATTTATTTATTTTTTTAGATTTTTTTATTGGACAATTGGGGGAAGGGAACAGACAAGTTGCTGTCCTTTTGTTCTTCAGTCTAGTTGTGGAGGACGTTGCTTCACTGGCTATTGTTGGTATTATGATCATTGTGCTCTTCCAGGGTGAGGCAAATCAGTCGCTGGCCATTGGATGGCCATTCATGGTGGCTCACGGCAGCTCACGCTGGCTGCTGGCCACTCACGGCAGCTTATGGCAGCCCACTGCAGCAGGGGTTGCAGCCTACGCTGTCACCGGCGACTCATGGCAGCCCAGATCCAGGTCGAGCTGTTGTTCACCATCTTAGCTGTTGAGGACGCAGTGTCATTGGCCTCATGTGGGCTCCAAAACGGGGCCCTTCTTCTCAGAGCTGGCACTCCCAAGCCAACCAACCTACACGCCACTCGGCCGACCCTATAAACACTTCTTAATGCTCACAGTAGTCTTGAAAAATACATTATCCCTTTCAGATAGATGAAGAAACTGGGGTTGGAGGGGGAGGGCAGTCTTTTAAAAATTTGAGAGCATTCACATAGCCTATAAGTGGCAGATATGAATCCAGGTCTGCTTCATTCTCAGGCTCATGTTCTTAATTAACTCTTTCTTCTGACTCAGTTTCCAGAATTAAAAATAAGAATTTCATTATATGGCTTTCTTCTTTTAAAAAATTATTTTTAAGGTTTGATGAGATATTTTGAAAAAATTTTGAAGACTTCACAAATATATCATACAGTTACAGAAAACTACACAAAACAAGCTTTTCTGGCACAGTCTCAATTTCAAATGTTCCATTGTGTTTGAAAACCATGTGTCCAAGTTTTGACTTCAAAAAACAATCACTTGTAAATACTCATTTCCTAAGAGTAAGACATTCCCACACTAGTTGTGTCCATTAGTGATTAACAGGTTTCTTTTTTCCTGAGCAGAGCTTGGCAATGCAGTATTTTATGTTTTACCATTGTACCAAATCTGTGTTAACCCAATAAAATATTAAGGGCCCCAGTCGCACTTGGGTGCCCACTCAGCAAATAGGAACTACTCTAAAGTAAATACGAAAAAATGTGACATCATCAGACTGATGTCTTAACCGAAATTTAGGAAGCAAAGTGTAGGGGTAGGAGGGTGTTTCTAGGGTCTACAGGAAGCAAAGGCAGCCAGAGTAGAATTCTTATCCTCAATGAAACTCTTTCCCACAGTTCCCCTAAGTCAGAGCTCCCATCCTTCTTGCATGAAGACGTTCCTTCCACTTCCCTTAACTCTTGAGATCTCTCTGGAGAATAGTAAGAACCAGGAGAAGAGGTTGGGGACTGCCAGTAAACCGCTGAGCACAATCTCTTCCCTAAAGGAATTCCAGGGAAACCCTTGGGGAGGGGAAGACTGGAATCCTACAGGTAGACAAGTTGAACAAGGGAGCAGCACCCAGCACAGAGATGATCGACCAGAAAGGTGGGAGTCTTAGGGTATACATAAAAGTCCATGTAGCATTTTAATGAACCCCTGGTTCCAGCTTCATGAAAAAGGAAAGAACACCTGTTTGAAAGAAAATGCAGGTAACCCAGAGATTATTTGTATGACATTAGCACCACTCCTCTTACCTGAAACAGACACCTCTCGGCACCGCACCAGGTCACTTTTGTTGCCAACCAAAATTATAGGAATGTCCTCTGTCTGCCTGGCTCTGCGGAGCTGAATTCGCAGCTCAGATGCCTTCTCAAAGCTGGCTCGGTCTGTGATGGAGTAGACAATCAGGTAGGCATCGCCAACTTGCATGCAGTGGTCCTGGAGCCACTCATTCTCCCCCTAATGAAATGAGAAGGTTTTCCATGAGCGCAGATTGGCCTGGAACATGAGGCATCAGTTTGCAAAGAGACAATGAGCGTATCCTGAAGTACCCTGGCTGATATGAGAAAGGAAGAACACTCATTCCAACTCCCCAAAATGCATCAGTCTTTCATGCCTGCAAGATGTCTGGTGGCTATAAAGACTGCTAGCCTATAAACTACTTATGCCAGAAAGTTTTTACTGTCCAATTCCTCCTACAGCTTGAGTTGACAAATTCTACAAAGATTCTGCCAAACATTATTTCCAATTTCTATCTAAACTACCAAACATGAGCCTTTTCTGACTTCCAAAGAACTCCTTTTTGCCTTTCTCAAGTGATAAAATTTAGAATCCTTTTGCGAGAAAAGAGGGTTCTCAATAAATAGAAAGTCTTGCCTATATGCACAGAAGCCAGAAATCTTTAAAAAGCAAATGTTAAAGACTAGTAGTGAGGGTCGGCCGAGTGGCGCGATGGTTAAGAACTCGCTTGGGATGCCAGAGGGCCCCGGTTCGGATCCCACATATGAGGGCCAGTGACACTGCCCTCCACAGCTAAGATGCTGAACAACAGCTCAACCTGGAGCTGGGCTGCCGTGAGTCACCGGCGACGGCGTGGGCTGCAGTCCCTGTGGCAGTGGATTGCCATGGGCTACCGTGTGTGGCCAGCAGCCAGCGTGAGCGGCCAGCAGCCGCAGTGAGCGGCCGTCCAGAAGCCGGCGACTGATCTGCCTCGCCAGAGAAGAGCGCAATGATGGTGCCAACTTGGGCCAGTGAAGCAACATCCTCCACAACTAGATTGAAGAACAAAAAACGACAGCAACTTGTCTGTTCCCCTTTCCCCAATTCCCCAGCACTGTTCCCATCCCCCCAATTCCCCAATTAAAAAAAAAAATCTTAAAAAAATAAAAAAGACTAGTAGTGAGAATGTCAACTTCATATAATGTGGTTTTATATAGTTTTAAATTATCATTCATCCCTATTGGTGCTTTCCCTAATATGAGTGTATTTTTTTGTATTTTTGAATAAAACTAAGGGCAACTTGCTTGTTATTCAGAGCTCATTTATGAATGACCTGTTCCTTAAAATAGTCTCATACTTCAGCAGTAAAAGCTTTTAATCAAGAAAATAGCCTACCTCACCTGCAGCACTAAAAAGGGCAAGGTCATTCTTGTACCCAACAGCTTGTTGAAAGGCAAACCCTGAAGAAATTTACAGAGAGCTCTGGGCTCCACATACCTTATTTTCCCACATATCCAGGAGTATAATTGTTGCACTTTCCCCATCAACCATCAGTGTTCGCTCATATGTATCTTCTAGAAAAGAAAGAACAGTGATATTGGAGCCAGGCAAACAGGCAACATTTTTACATAAAAGGGTCTTGTAGAAAATTATGCTAGAAAATAAATATATTAAATATGCAATTAATTATATAAATGTACAGCTATTCAGAAAGGCAAATTACTATTTTTTATCACCTTCAACAACATTCTACGTATATTCCTAGAGTACTTACTAAGCAGAACACCTAAATCTTGTGAATGTGTATCATTAAACCACTTGAAGTGAAAGGCATTCATTTTCCTCATTCCTGGAACTTTTATATAAGAAAAACATTTATGATATAAACTCACTTTTGAGCTTTTGACTCCAATTCAAGTTCCAATGCCATGAGAAAACAATAACTGTCCAGTGGAATTGTAAGCCCCGTTCATATGCCTCACATGGAAATCCACTGTACCTTTCAGTGGGGTGATTACTGGCAATTTCAGGAACTCTGAGCTCAGAGACATTTCTCTTCTTTTGAGACATGCAAGAAAAAAATCTTGAGACTATCCCTGTTTTGGGTGAAGTTTTCTTCCTTAAAAAAATGTAGTTCCCTAGGAACTACAGACTTGTTTTTCTATCTTAAGTACAGAAAAAGTGCAGCCTCCAGCTCTACTTGGTAATGGAAACTTTGCTCTCTGCAGTTGAGCCCAGATTGAGTGTAGATGAAGGGTGAATGAAGTACAATGGGCCAGAGCAGCTCCAGCCAGAAAAGTCAGTGAGGCAGGGATTAACGAAGTTAAATGCGATTTTAGCAAGAAGGACTCCCATCAACTCCTTACAATTGGGCCCGTTCCCACTCTTTTCATAGTGAGGTTTCTTGTTTTGAATTTCATAATTTGAAACTTATAATTTTCACAATGATTTTTTTGGTAATTTTTCTTACCATTCCTTTTGCATGGAATCTGTTCCCTCAACATCCAGAAGACTTGTTCTCTTACCTCCTTCTGGGGGAGACGTTTCCTGACCATCTACTTAAAATTGCAACACCTCGCTCCTAATATTTTCTACTCCCTTCCCTGTTTTATTTTTCTTCAGTGTACCTATCTCCATCTAACATGCAATCCATTTAACTTACTTATTTTCTTGTTATCTGTCCCTCTCCTACCCCAGAATGTTAAGGCAAAGATCTGTGCTTTACTGCAATAAACCCCAGCACCCAGGCCAGTGCCTGGTATATTGCAAGTGCTCAGTAAATACTTATCAAATGAATGAATGAATGATAAATATATTATTGCAGCTGTGAGCACAAGATAACCTAAATTTGAATCTGAGTGCCATCCCTTATTAACTATGTGGTTCTGGACCACTTACTTAAGCTCTCTGGGCCTCAGTTCCTTTATCTGTGAAGTGGGATTGATAACAGTATCCATACCTTAGGACTGGGAGACAATTACATATATTAAGCCTGGGTACAAAGTAGAAATGCAATAAATATTACCTGTTATCATCACTTCTTCCTATGGAGGTCGTTGGCTCTTGCCATAGTCAGCATTTCCTGCTATAGGTAAATCCTAGCTTAAGGGAGCTATGTTGGGGGAACCAGGACATTTCTTGTTTTATAATACTTAGAGGTTTCTAAAAAATCAATGCTCCTTATTGAATGTTTCTTTATCTAGGAACTGGTATCAGGAAAGGGAAAGAAAGGAAAACATGGACAAATGATGAGAAAGTTAACCAGGGATGGCTCTGGGTTTATGTCAGTTTTCCCACTTCCTTTAGGTGTCATTCTTCTAATCAATGGTAATCGTTCCCCACTGGGGCATTAACAATCCATTATTCCCATCATGTTCACCCTCCACAATATTCAGCATGAATGGGATCACAGTGGGAATGCACTGTTTGGCTTACTGGGGAGTAGGGCTTCATGACCTCAACAGGCAAATTTATATGACCACATGTACAAGTCAGAACCTGAGCAGCACAGATGGGGAGGAGGGAGCTGACTGCCCCTTACGACCTCAGAGCTCTCCATGTACTCAGAAAACTCACAAGAGCACTTTCTCTGCCCTCAGCCCATCACTCAAAAGTAGGTACAAGGGACTCTTTGAATCTCCAGTAGTTCAAATAGAAACACACTGTATTCCAATAGCTAAGGAAAAAGCAAAAATCCTTTCTCCAAAAAAAAAAGAAAAGAAAAAAAAAAGTGGACTAAGAATTACAGCTGTGAAAGGACAGCCAAACTGCTTTGCTGTTCTGGAAGGTTCCTGACAGGATCATTCTGTCTGGACTTACCTCTGCCAGAAAATCATTGTGTTGGAGCATAAAACAATATATCTGCACCCTGATTTGTGTGTATGCCCTACATCTGGATTTATATACTGCCTCTGGCTACACGCCCCAAGGATTCTTCAAACACACAATGCACCCTGCTTGACAGCCTTCCATGAACCAGGAGAGGACCTGCCTGCCTGCAGCCAAAGTTCTAGTTTCTCTTCTCTCTTAGTCACTCACTCGCCTTTTAGCTTTTTCAAGGGCTAATCAGATAAGGAGAGGGGAGATAAAAGAATATGAAATTCTAGAAGAGTCCTTTGAAATTTTCCCTGGGTTAAAGTGTATGGAGAAAGGGTTGAGGCCTTCTGGCTTATAAGGCGTTTCAGTTGCCTGGGTCTGAGGAAGGTCTCACTTCTCCAGTGTTCTCAATAAAAGATGGGGGTGTACACTCACATGCTGTCTATCAAGAGAGATCATCCTGAAAGGGTGAGATGAAGTTTCTAGGATTGGGTAATTACAGTCAGTAGCCATTTTCCCTGGGCTAGTGCACCTCGATTTGTCTTTTCTCATGTGACCACCCATTGTGCTTAGAGGACACTCCTGCCCAAGACTGGCTCAAGTGCTATGTGTGGAAACTGCATAGGAGTTCTCTCACATGCTGGGACCGGCTCCTGCAGCCCCTCAAAAGTCCTGAGACTCCAAAATCCTTCTCCCCAAAAACTCTCAACTGCTTTCAGCTTTCATAGCTGAAGGGATCCCGAGGAACCCTGGAAGGAACAGCTGCTCTAAGAATACTGTCCTCCCCTCTAGTGGCTCATGCCTCCTTTGTGAGTCTCATAGGGCTCCAGCTAAGAGTAACCAAAGTAGATGAGGACTACAAGCAATGAAAGTATCAGTTTTGAAAGATAAGCATAAGGAGAGGAGATGGTAGATTCAGAATCAGCTCTAATATTCATTTCATACTTGCTAAGTGCCAGGCACTATGCTACACGCTTAATATATGTTATCTCCTTTAATCCTTAGTACCCTATGAAGTTGGTATTATCCCTATTTTACTAATGAGGAAGCTTAAGGAGTATCTTGTCCAAGAGCAACCAGCAAAGTCAGTATCAAGGCTGAGGCCCAAATCCACATGATCGGACTGCAAGCCCAGTGTTCACTCTGGCACTGCCCGTGTGTATGTGCACTGCCTCCTCATCTCTCAGGGCTTACAAATCCTCATGGTCCTGAGGGTCCAGTTAAGAGACCACTTCTTCCATGAGCCCTTTTCTGATTTCTATAGCCAGAAGTAACGATTTCTCCTCTGAATTCTCAAAGCACTGTCCTTGTACCTCTTTCAAGACATTTATCACACCTTATCTTGAGTTACAGTTGATATATATCTGATCTCTATTGCATATACTGTGAGCATCTTTAGGGTAGAAGTTCCATGACTCTTTGTGTATTGCCACAGTGCTTCACTAAGCTCCAAGGAATATGTTCAGTAAATAATTGTTCAGGGATGAAGACTGGATGAATGAGCAAATGAATGAATAGCATTAAATGTGTACACAGTCATAATATTATTGTAATATAACCATACAACATCCATCTTTATTAGGAGAAATAATGATGAGAGTATTGTGTAGATTTTTTTTCTTATGGTTAATGTTTCCCTCTTGGGAAACATAAAGCCAACTAGTGATTCCAACAACCACCTATAGATAATGGATGTAATCCTAGACAGTGTAAATTAAGTTACTCAAATAGGATGCATTAGATAGGATGGGTCACCTGAGAAGCTTCTTGTTGTCAAAGACCCTCTACTTGAGGATATAAGGAAAGGAGTCTTCCCTCCACTCCCATTAAACAAAGAGGTTTCCCAAATATAGCAGACTGCCTTCCCAAATTCCAGGTATGACTTGGTCTTCATGCTCTATGCCTATGGGGATACTACCCTCTGTATAGATGCCACTTCAATCAACAAACATTTTTGAAAGTCTGCTCTACTTGTTCAATTCCTCCCTCTTAAAAAAAACAAACAAAAATTCTCAGTTGGTCTCTTCCTAATGCCAATCCCCAAAGCACTTAATTGTTATTTCTTAAGGTCTTCATGAATTTTACCCTGCTCTGAATTATAGGCACTGATACTGAGCTCCTTCCTAAGAGGGTATGCTGCACCTTATTCATCACTGGGAGCCGGACAGCCTAGAACAGACCAGGCATGTGGCCAAACCCAGTGAAAAGTGCTGTTGTATAGTATTTGGACACTAAATCCAAGGGCTGCAGGGTACAGAGAAGGGACACAGGATTTGGGTTCAACCACAACTAGATTTGAATCCTGGCCATTCTATGGGCTAGCCTTTTCACCCTGGGAAAGCCATTTGACTTCATAAGCCTCCATTTCTTCACCTGTAAAATACAGGTATTAGGTACCAAATTCATTCAATTTTTATAAGTATTATCAGAGAAAACTTATGCGAAGCACAGTGCCTGGTACATAGCAGGTTCTCCATCAATGGTAGAATAAAAACAACACCAAACAAATTATGAAACCCCAAGTTCTAATCCCAGCTAACCCACTGGATGATTCTAGATAAGCCACTTGGTATCCTTGAGACTCAGTTTATTCATAAGTACAGGAATTTTGTGAGAACCAAAATAAATAAGAGCAAATATAAGGAACTCAATAAAGTGCCTCTCCCATTGCAAATGAGTATTCTAGATGTTAGCTCCTCTGTTTCTCCTATAGCCATAGTCATCCACCAGCCTTTACAAAGAAAGAGAAAAGCAAATGTACAGTACTGACCCTAACTCCCCCTGACTCTTGTTTAGCTATAGTCCCTGAGATTCCAGCGTGAAAAGAGAAATCAATGTTCTATCAATGAGTAAACATTTGTAGCCCAGTTCAGGAGCTACCTTCTGAAGCGGTGAACTCTCTGACACTGGAGACAGTCAAGGAGGATAAACATTTAGTGAAAGTGGGCAGACAGTACTGAGGAAGGAGAGGGATTCCTATGCAGCAAGTGCAGGACAGAACTGTGTCATCAATGAGGCATCTTCCTACTCTGGTAATCTGTGATTCAGCTGTGAGTCGCAACTGAGGGTACAGACAGACCATGCCACTTGGGCAAGCACTGGCAAGTTCTTTCTTCATTTCTATAGCTGCAAATAGGGACTTGCAGCTACCTCATTCATGTATGCTAAGATACTTGTAGAAGCCGTGGCTGCAAGACACTATGAATACCATTAACTATTAGGATCCTCATATCATTTCCCAGAATTTAGTGCTATGCTTTAGACATATTTGAGTCATACATGCATTTTGGAGATTATGTCACCCCAAATCAGTTTTGGAAATCGGCAGTGCTTAACTAATAAATATTTTAAATGCGATTGTGTAGGGAAAACTGTCTTGAAAAACTCTAAGACTCTATACAAACATATGTATCATCATTGTTATAATTCAAAATATTGAAAAATGTTGTATTATTTCAACACTACAAATACAGATTTTAAACTATTTACACCTTCAAGAGATTCTAACATTGATGGAAATAAACTGATGAGTTAGTTTTTTAAATAACCATGAAAAAAAAGTTGTGTCTTCACTGAGCTCTTGAAAGGTCCAGGTCTGTTGGTAAAAGCCAAAGGTGGGAGCTGGACCCTCTGGTTCTGCTCTCTTTAATCAGTGTCCGCCAGTCCCTTTAGAGCTGGAATTTAAGAAATTCCTTTTCTGGGCCTGGTTTTATCTATGAGCATTTTCATTTTCTTGTCCTGAGGGCCTGTGCCAGGGCTTTTCTGGGGACTCAGCTCCCCAGCCAGTGCCAAGAATACGTAACCGCAGTTCCTAACTCTGCCCATAAATGACCCACATGCTGACTCTTTCTGCCTGGACCACTGCGGACAGACAGAAGCCTGCTGGGGCTGGACCACCTACCTCCCAACACCTCGCAGTCGCTGTCCATGCTGTCATGCACACCCGCAAAGATGTTGGCCAGAGTGGACTTGCCCACCCCCTGCTCCCCTATGAGCACCACCCTGTAGTAGGTGTTCCCTGACTCAGAGGAGATGACTGAATCCGTTGAGTCAGAGGACCAGCTCTGGCGGCAGTGGTCCTCAGGGACAGCAGAATGATAGTTGCGGTGGCTGTACTGGTGAGGCTCTTTCTGGACCATCAGATGCCTGCCGTCGGCTGGGATGCTCCAGCGCTGCTGCTGTGGCTGCGTGCCCACAGTGCCCTGGCGCATGGTGACATTATTCAGAGTCATTGTTGTGTCCTGGAGAGCAAAGAGGCCAAGATGTTAGCATTACGAAGCATGAGTGAGAGCTCCGGGGACTCAAATACACAGTCAGTCATCAGTGATATTCTATTAGATGGTGTGAGACCCAAGTAGTCCTAACAGAAGAAACACCAATGAAACAGTCCCCAAACCCAACAGGCTTTCAACTGGACACACACACACACACACACACACACACACACACACACACACACACACACACACACACAATTAATAACCAGCTCCTCAGGCAGACTGTCATTTGCAAAGAGCAAAAAGTACCGTTAGTATCATCCACTGCCACGGAACTTCCTCCATCCTCAAGGAAGCCTGACGATCCCACTTAGAGCTGGCACAGAGGCAACCAGAAGGAACTGCAGCCTCCAGAGATGGCTTGAAAACCAAGGAGTTAATGGAGCTGGGGAGGAGCAACCCAGATTAGCTGCTCTTGTCTAAACATGGCTCTTAATTGCACCAGCATCCAGTGGGCTTTTGTGTCTTGGTGGGAAACACGTGACGGTGACATCACTCCCCCTGGTCAGACTGGACAAGCACGCATGGGAACTTCCATGTTTAGCAAAGTTGCCCTGATGCCTGATGCTGTCCAGCTGCCTGAATAAGCTATTATTTGGAGGTGGGGCAGAATTTTGTTTGAAGTTTATGCCTCAGCTCTACCCTCTTGCCCACAGATATCAGTTTAAAACATCACAGCCCCAAGCCTTGCCGTTCTGGCAAGGAAATGACCTGCTCACATTCAGACCTATCAAATTTGCAGAGAAAATGCTTCACTCATTTAAACCACGTCCACTCTGAGAGTTCTTTAATTTAACTCAGATTTCCACCCTCTTGAAAGTCAAAGATTCTCCTAAATGATATTCAACAAAGTGGTTACAACTTTCCCTTTGCAAGACTCCTCTCGCACGGAGGTCCGTTCTCCCCGGCTACTTGAGCAAGATCTGCTCATGAAAATGAGAAGCGCACAGACACTCCCTTTCCCATACTCACGCCACGCTCCACACCCCAACACGTCGGCTTCTGGCCAGTATGACCGGCCGGTCTGTTAATCTTATAAGCAGCTCCTCAGTTGGCACACTTGCATTCAAACAACAAAAGCATGAAGTATCATTTAGGACTGCCCTCTGACCACTCAGTTTGTGGAAGGAGACCCTCCTACTGAATTGAACGAAGGAACCGGCTGATAACAAATGGTATCCTTTGCACCTTAAACTCTGCCCCGCCCCCGTCCCGCCTCACAAACGCCGGAAAACTACTGCGCCCACAGCACGTTCCAGCGGCTCTGATCTCAACTTAGTTTTGCGGGCTGGGAACGCCCATTCCCTCCCCAATCATTCCCAGGCGACGAGAGTAGGGCTCCTCCAAAAGCGAAGCGCCCCCTTACCTGGCTTGACCAGGTGTGCACCTGCGCGTCGGTGCGTCGGTGCGCGGGTGAGAACCGCGATCCCGGGCCGCAGAGCGCAGGGTGCTGGAGCCCAGCCGCCGCCGCCCGGCGGTTTATAGCGTGCCCGCCGGCCCGCGCGGGGCTTTTCCGTGACGTCAGCGCCTCCCCCGGAAGGGACGGCTCTGCAGCAAACTCCGAGTTACTGCCACTTCGCTAAATCAGTTCCTCGCAGTCATGTGATCCGTCTCCCCTTTTAAAAAATAACAGTTCAATCCCGGGCTCCTTTATTTTATTATATTTTATTTTTACCAGGTGAACGCAGGGACATGGAAAAATACACTTCATCGAGCTTCCCAGCAAAGCACTTGCGAGCTGTCGGGGTAAAGGATGGAGGAAGAGGCAAGTTGAGTTTTTAGCCCAGCTTTGCCAAAAAAACAGGGATTGGCGAGTGCGCGGAGGCTTTAGCCTCTAGAATGGAGCCGCAGCTACCTGAGTGGCCAGGGCTTGCGTTAGCCGCATCTTCTACAAGGAAAACAGCCTCTGCCTGCCCTCTGTCACCTCTTTGGATGAGGCAGTGAGGAGAGCCCTGCACTACTTTCCCTTCTCTGACACGGACCCAGAGATAAGGGGCCAGAGAGAGGTGAGGAAAGGGGACAAGACCTTCGAAAAGGGCAGTTTTGAAAAATAACTTAATTACAATAGGTTCCACCAGATTGTGCTAAATGTTGCCGACCCTCCTGCTTTGGGCCAGGATGCTGAGGCCCCTCAAGCAGAGAATTTAATCAGCGTCCCAATCAGCAACATCTCTGTGCCAGGTTCCTTGGGGTGGCTGGGCCTGGGCATGGAGCCAATCAATGCCTCTCAGTCATGGGGAGGAAGTCTAAGCCAGACACTAGGGCCATATCTTCCAAGAGATTCCTGTGAATAAAAGGCAAACAATAATAATAATTAATAATAATAATAATAATAATAATGACTACAATTACTACCATTTACTAAATACTTTTGAGTACCTATACTCAAGTACTATTAGGCCTCTGCAGTACTTCAATCCTTAGAACAGTTCTGCAAGATATATTTATTGCTACCCCCATTTTATAGAGGAGAAAAATGACACTTGGCCACAGAGCTTGCCCAAGGTCACACAGCTGGTATAAGTGGCACAGTCAGGATTCAAAACCTGGTTTACCTCTCTGCACTGCACCACCAGCTGAAGGGTTCAGTGACCTCTTTCTGAGGACATGGGCATTTATTACCCAGATGCTGTGTTTGGAGATGACACTGGCCTTTCCAACACTTCCATCCTCTTTTCCAGCTAGCTTCATCTCTGGGTTGGCTGGTGGCTCTAGGAAGCAGCCAAAGGCACCAGCGTCTATTTGACTGGCTGGACTCTGCTGTGAATAGAGTCCATTCTCAGTTATCCTGCAGGCAGTTATCCTGCTTTGGAGATTATCCAAATTGCAACCGCTGAGACCTTCCAGGTCCCAAGCTGGCAAATATGGAATCCATCGACTTTAGAGTTCCCTTAGTTCCAGGCGCCCTAACCCAACCTCCTACTTATTTTATACCTAAGGAAGCTGAGACCCAGAGGAAGGACTACCACTGAGCTGAGTTAGTAGATGGCAAAACTGGAACTAGAATCTGAGTATCAAAACTTCCTGGATGGCGCCCTTCACTTCAATCAAGCTTTCCTTCTGGGCTTAGCCAGGAAGGGATGGCTACAGATGTGGGAAAAGAAGAGTGGGGGGCTGAGGAGAGAAAGAAAGAGATATCATCCAAGAGAATATTGCTGACTCCATGCTAAAAACACATGTAAAGTAACTTGTGACTTATCTGCATTTCAGAATTATCCATGCTTTTTCCATGATGAGCCTCCTACTCTGCAAACTGGTCTCAATAGAAACATTATGTGGGTAAAAATTAAGAATCAGAGTTTATAAGCATATCATTTAGCCTCTCAATTCTACTTTTGCCCTTGATAAGAACCTAAATCTTCACACTAACAACCTAATTCTATTGCTAGGCAATATCCACTATGAACTAGTTTTCATTGGTGTATGTGAGGCAAACAAACAAAAAAAAACAAATTCTAAAATTGGGGCGCATTCAGTCCACTATTGATTGTGAGTACAGCATGATGTGTTCGAATAAAAGAATCTGCCTTCTTAAATTTTCTGTCCCATAAGAAGCCAAACGAGAAAACAATGACTTATAAAAAGTTTCAACAGTTAAATTTGAGTGACTATTTAGACAAAAATCACAGTTACACCTCAAGAAAAACATATTTGAAAGCCAAATCTTATCCAGCGGAGCCCCAGCTCCCTTGTCCAGGATTACAGCTCACTGGGACCAATCTAAGGCTATGGAGCTGGAGGGGGAAAAAGGTAGAATCAGGGCATTTGGGCAAGTGGCAAGAACTGTGATCTATGGGCCAGTCTTAACCACTATTCTATTTAGAGTAGGGGATACACTTCAATCCTGTTCCCATGCTAGCCCCGCCTCAACCCACTCCCTTCTTAACTCCTCTCAGAAGAGGAGGAGTTTTGATTTGATTGAGAAAATGCTCCAGGTAATGACAGTTTTGAAGTTCCTTTTATGCATTAGAAGCAAAGGAGGAGACGTAAGGACCATTACATGAAATCCATTGGTGGTAGGTTAAGGGAGTGGGAGAAACCAAAGGGAAAATCTCTGGGATTGGATAAAAAGCAAAATGGAGAGACACCTACTTTTTTTACATTGGTGGGTACAGGATAGTTGATAATCAACATTTACAGCACACAGAGATGGCCTATGGGGAACAAGATAACAATGAGGGGTTTGGTGGTCTTGGGCTTTGGTGCCTGCAGTTGTGACTTCAAGGGGTCTAGAAAGAAAATTATTCTGACATTTCAGAGATATATTGTCCTAGGTGCATAAGAACAGTACACAGGGCTCGCTTAAGGTAAAGATTGAC